GAGAGAGTTGACATGTCGTGGGGTTGTTAACCAATGTCATAAAACAATATGTGTACTACTGTTTAATGAGAAACTATTTGTTCTGTAAACCTTCACCTGAAGTATAATTAAAAAAAAAAAAAAAATAGCAAACCCCATCCCCAGTACTTCCCAAACTCCTTTCCTTCAAACATATTATGCAATTTACTTCTTTTGCTTATTGTCTGTCTCCCTGACTAGAATATAATCTCCATCACAGCCAATTCACTGCTCCATCTCTAGCATCTGGCACTTAGTAGGCACCTGTAAGATACCCATGGAATGAATGAATGTCTTGCACACAAAAAAGCATTCCTGTGTCAGCATTTGCCCACACCAATGTCTTGATTCACCAACAAATTTTATGTAGACTATGTGTTGTGGTCACCCCACAGAAACAGAAAAGAGACCCCCACCCCCAACCCAAAATTTGGTTCAGATGTTGCAACTAATGACACCAAACTCACACCAAGAGGGTATGAAAAGGTTTGTTACTCACATAATGAGGTTTTCCGGTAAAGCAGGGCAGGCTCCCAAGCTGGTCAAAATGGCTTGAGAGGGCAGGGAAAGGGGACTGGCCTGGAATTTTACGGTGGGTGGTGGATGGAGCTGAAATGAGGGTTTCTGTGCTCGGGTAAAGGCTTGTGTGGTTTGAACTTCCCACTGGCACCAAGGAAGGAGCAACCAAGTTTTCTTATCAGCTTGCCCAGATGTGGGGTAGATGGGGAAGAAGTGATGGGGCTTGAAAGCTGTCAGCAGTCAAACATCAAAACCAGAGTCAGGCTCTTTATTACACTATATAACATGTGGTGTGGTCAGCATTTCCTGGTTATGTGGCTGCTGGACACAGAGCAGTGAGTATCCAGGACCTCCCACCCACCAACCAACCTCACATTCTTACTCATCCCAATGCCAAACCTGAAAGCTATCGCAAAATCAGAGGCTAGAGCATTTGAAGACTCATTAAACAGTTCCAAAAATCAGTGGGATCACTTCTCTCCATACTCCTCTTGACCTATATACACTGCCAAAGTGAAAACCCAAGCTGATCACTTCCCTGTCCAAACATGCTCACCATCTAACTCAGTTTCTACAATTCCTTACCCAAGGATTCAGGGCTCCACATCACGACCAGAATTCACTCTTCAACCTTGCCTCACCCTCCGTCCCCGTACACACACTGCACTGCAGCCACACTTGGGTGCTGTCTGTTCTATAAATATGGCCCTGCTCATGCCGTCTCTCTCTGCCTGTAATGCCTGCCTGCCTGCCCTTCCTCCCTTTTTGCTCATCTCCCCAGGGTCTAAACAGAACCAGCCTTTGGAATCCCAGCTCAAATACTAACCTCCTCCCTGAAACTTCACCAAGATCTGCAAACTAAGTAACACCTTTTTCCTAAACAAATACCTGGCAAACTCGCCCACCCCACCCACCTCACTTACAGCAATCCTTCTTAGAATTCCATGTATCTCAGATATTTGGTATCTTTCTGACTCTAAAACAGACTCTTTGCTATCCCTCAATCACTATTTTTTCTCCTTGTTTATAGAGATAAACAAAACAAAAGAACAAACAAAATCCTTGAAATTTAACTGGGCACATGAATGTCCAGAATAAAGGCACCCCCAAATGCCCTTGCTGCTAGGTGTGACCACAGAATATGGAAAGAAACGACCTCACGACTAAATTCTGGTGGTAACCATGACTACCCAGTAGCGAGCCATCTTGGACCACACACCCCCATTCAAAACCTTCCAAAGGCTACCTATCAAAATCCAAAGTCTCTGCCCCTAGATACCCTTTTAGCTCAGTAATGAAGTCACTCCTGAGGTTCACCCTTCAGCCAAAGATTAGACAGGCCCATAAAACAAAACGAGACTAAAGGGGCACACCAGTCCAGGGACAAGGACTAGAAGGCAGGAGGAGACAAGAAACCTGGGAATAGGGAACCCAAGGTCGAGAAGGGAGAGTGTTGTCATGTCGTTGACCAACCAATGTCACAAAACAATTTAACTGTTTAACGAGAAGTTAGTTTGTTTTGTAAACCTTCATCTAAAGTACAATTTAAAAAAATAATAATAATCCAAAGTCATTACCATGGCCTGCTAGGACCTATATAACCTCATCTCTAGCTCTCTCTTTGACATCATTTTCTCTCATACTCTGAATTCACCCCCTAATCACTGCTGCCTCCCTGACTCCCTCTGTTAATACGTTTCCTCCTGCCTCTGCGCCTTAGTATTTGCTGTTCTCTTTGCCCAGAATGCTATGCTCCTAAATATCAGCACATCTTGATCTCTATTTTACTCTAGTCTCTGTTCAAATATCCCCTTATCAGAGACTGTTCCTGACCACCCTATCGTTCCCTCTCTACCCTCCTTCTGTGTTTTATTTTCCCATATAGAACATATCGCTGCTGTGCTGTTGTGTGCCATCAAGTCGATTCCAACTCACAGAGACCCTATAGGACAGAGTAGAACTGCTCCATAGGGTTTCCATTGGAGCAGATCTTGATTCTTTATCACTACTTGATATAAATATTTTTACACTGTGGGGTTCTCCCACATTTTGGTGTTATGCCAATATATTCAAATATTAGTTTTAATAAAAGAATAAAGGAATGGGTTTCTGTATAACCAGTCCATGCCTCTCCTTCCTTTACTACCACATTCTGAGGGTATTTCTTGCTGCTGCCACCTAGCTCCCATGCTACAGCCTATCCTGTGCGGCAGGTGCACCTCTTCTTGGCATCTACCTCATCTTACCTGCAACCTTTCCGAGCTCATTCTGCTATTGAAAACAGACAAGCGTATCTTCACCTTCAGACACAGGTTCAATGAAGTGCCTGCAATGGCTTACCTCGAAACTTAAGCGGACAGAAGATTAAAGGAACCAGTGCTTACCTGAGGCCTGGCTATAAAGGACATAGCTGTCAACATCTGGTGTTTTTAATTTCTCTCATGGGGAAAGGCACAATTTTCGGAGCCGAAGGCAGAGAAAGATGTATCAGCAAGAGTGAACTGACCATAACTCCCTCATAGACCCTCTGCCCCAGGTTCCATTTTAACATTGTTTATATTGGCAGCACAATTCTTTGCTCACAGGGGGGAGACAATGTATATAGAAGAATAAAGAGATAAGCAGAGATCATTCCAGGAAGATGATTCTTAGGCAAGAAAACTCGAAGTTCCCTGGATGCAAAGGTGACATCACAGGAAAGCAATCAGAAGGGGAGACTGAGGGAATCAATGGATAGAGGACTAATAAGCCAAGAAGAAAAATAGAGACCTGAACTATAGATAAAGTTCCCTAGAATCTACACACCAGAGATAGGAAAGAGGTGCTTATTAGATATGCACTCAAACACTGGAAGACCTTGGGCAAAGTCCTTAATTCTCAGTCTCTGTACTTCTTCCTGTACAGAAAAGAGCACTGGACTAGACAACTTCAGAAGTCCCTTTCAGCAACAAAAGTCTATGATTGGAAGGAACTAAACCAAAACAGGATTTGGAAACTGTTTGCCAATAAGATTTTGGTAACTCTCAAATATTGTTTCTCCCTAGAACACATAGATTGATTTTAAGACGGTTCATTAATTTTATAGCTCTGGCAGGAGAAGGAGAAAGATGAGTATAAAAAGAGAGTAGTAGTCATGTTAAAGTTACATATCAAGTTATAAGGCATATCCCAAATATTACAGTATTGTAATAGAAACTATTTCCAAATCCCATTCTGTGCTACTTAGTTCATTACTGGGAAACAGGGATTCTATCCTTCGGTGAATTGACTCTGCAAGATATACTAATTAAAGACAATGCCTGCAATATAACAGCTACCACTGGTTAGACCAAATATCCCCAATCAGTATAAATCTCTAAGTCTTAATAGATCTTTAAGCCTCAACTGTCTTGGTTGACGCCAAAGTAGATGCCGTCACCACACTCAGCTTTCCCCCTCTGCTCATACATCAAGCTTGGACAGACAGACAAGACAAAAATCCACAATCCAATCTCGGTTATGCAGTTTTACCAAGTCCATGGTATTCTGACTCTAAGGCACTTCAGGAAGGTAGGAAAACTGAGGCGTGTGGGTCACAGGAAAAGTTGTCAGATGATGCTAGAAACCATATCTTTGCAGGTAGAAACAATCTAATCAGAACTAGTAGTGAAAAGCATGAATTGAAGGACATAAAAGAAAACATGAAAATCTTCACAGGTAATGCTGCTAATTTCATGGAAGGCTTCTACTCAATAGTAACACAAGTAGTAATTCCTTGTAAATAGAGTAAATAGGTACTCCTTGTAAGTGGGTGTTCTATTTCTCTTAAATTGAGAACCTGTTGAATCTTTGTGACTACTTGTCCTATCCAGTGGATATTTCATAGATTAGAAAACTCAAACAAGAGGCCTTCAGAAAGTTCAGATCAAGAGAATGAGCTGTTGAAAAGCACATACTTAGAAAATACTAAAGTCCAATGTGAGTTATCTGGAATATGCTAGAAATAGAGGTTCCCCTAAATACTCCTTAGAATCTCACGCTAGCCGTGAAAAACCATAACCATTGAGGTCCAAATACCAAGTCTGCTGTAGACATGTTACTTCACTAACAGAGACTGTGAAACCCAGTCAAGTCTGAATCCTCAGAATTTTAATGTTATAAAGTAAGAGGATGCAATGAAGAGAGTAAACAGACAGATGTGAAAAGAATTCTTTACCATCTCTCAGATTTGGAAAGGAGATATATGCTTAACATTGAATATATATTTTAAGTGTACATGAAGGAAGATTTTAGGTTGAAGAAATTTCATTATGCCAATTCATATCCTGGGGCTCCAAACCTTTAATATGGACTTCCCACGTTATGGACTAAACAAATTCCATCTTGGCATAGAAGTCCAATATTCTAGTGTCCTGGATACTCTGGTTGCTCAATAGATAATTAAAAGCATCCAGTCTGGGCTAAAAGCCATGCCTGGCAAATTGTTCATAAACTACAGGCAGCCCCTGGGTTACAAATGAGATCCGTTCCTGTGTCTTTAAGTTAAATTTGTAGGTAAGTTGGAACAGGTACATTCAAACTGGAACCGGTTTGAACCCCCGCTGAGATTTTGCATTTCCACCCCAGATATACTGAATCAGAATCTACATTTTAACACCTGGGGATCTTGTTAAAATGTAGATTCTTTGTTTTTTTTTTCAAACTTTAGTGGCCCATGAACAGAGTAAGCAGGATTTTTTAGAGGCTTTCATGCAAGTGTTTGAGGCAGAAGATACATGTCCTCCCCCTCAGAGCACGTTCATAGATCCCCTTCCAGAAGACACACAGGTCTTGGCGGGCCTCACTGAAGAGCAATGCACAGTCCACTGTCTACCCGTTCCCAGGAGAATGGTTTCCTGGCTGTCCTAGGCGGCACAGCCCTACTCAGGGGTTTTCCTGGGAGTCCCCCAGTGCAAAAGCATTGTTATTATTTTATTAATGCTTGGGGAAGTGCTACCGGACACTGACTGTCAAATTATTTAGAAATTTGGTTTGTCGAACTTCTAATTTCCCAATTTCTCTCAGTCTGTGCATCATTTTCTTTCCTTTTTTTTTAAATTTTTACTGTGCTTTAGGTGAATGTTCACAGCTCAAGTTAATTTCTCATTCAAAAATTTATACACATATTGTTTTGTGACATCGATTGCAATCCCCACAATGTGACAGCACACTCCCCCTTCCAACCCGGCTTCCCTGTGTCCATTCAACCAGTTCCTGTCCCTTCCTGCCCTTCCATCCTGCCTCCGGACAGGAGCCACCCGTTTGGTCTTGTATATCTGGCTGAACCAAGAAGCACGTTCCTCACGTATATCATTCCTTGGCTTACAGTCCTGTCTAATCTTTGTCCGAAGAGTGAGCTTGAAACGGTTTCAGTTCTGGGTTCAGAGTGTCTGGGACCATAGTTCTGGGGGTTCCTCCAGTCTCTGTCAGACCATTAAGCGTGTTCTTTTTACATAAAAAAAAATGTAGATTCTGATTCAGTATATCTGGGGTGGAAAGGCAAATTCTTCCACCGGTTCGAACAGATTCCCTTTTGAAGCTCTGCTGTAGTGCAGGAAAAGGCTCAAAGCTGCACGTGCAGCAAGTGAAGGTGATCCTGATGAAGAATTTGCTTTGAGTAGGGGGTTGGTTCAATCAGTTCAAAGTGAAGGCAAATTTACTTAGCATTAAAGGGCAAATACAACGTGTTCATAAGTCAGACGTTCCCAACCCGGAGGCTTACTGTATTTTCTGTGGCCACATTTAAAAACAAAGGGGCGGGGGGCTCCGGGGCTGGGCACCTTAAGAGGAAAGAGCTAGGATTCTCGGAGCCCAGGAGCAACAAAAGGTGGTGGGGTTTACGAAAGGGCGTGTTCGCCGCCGCCAGACTGGCCCAGAAAGGTGGACAGTGATAATCTTGTGGGGCTCATGCTGTCAGTCTCCATCATATTACCTCACACGGAAAGTAATGGGGTGGGAAGGCAGCTGGAAGTGACTGGGGGCAGGAGACTGCGGCCGGTTCCCCCAGGCCAGCACATGCCCCCTTTCATCGTGAACACAGGCACCACCAATCTAGGGCCCAGAGTCCAAGTAACAGTAGCAGTTGCGCCCGCCTCCCCCGAGGTCCTCCCCGTCCTTCCCGGGCCAAACCAGACCCGCTCACCATGGGCTCGCTGAGGCCCCTGCAGCTTTTCAGCGAGGAGCCAACACAGTGGTAGACACAAAGCTCTGCTACTCAAAAACTCGCCCTAAGGAAATGCGTCATCACACTGACCTTCCGGCCCATAACCTTCCTCGGGGTTCTCTAGGAATATTGGAGGATCCCACACCTCAGTGGTTCCTCCTTCTAGTTCTCGCCAGACCAATCTGAGGAAGAGGGCGGACAGGTGAGCCCTATACACTCCTTTCTTTCTTACAGCCTCCTGTGCTGAGTCGAGACACCCGGACTGGGTTCTTTAACCAACTGATCTCCTTGGAAAAGAAGCGGGGCCGTTTATTCCGCCACAACAATTCACAGTGGAGCCTGCATAGGCCTCTTCTTGGAGACCTGAGCCTGTTCCTGCCTGGCAGGTCCACCCCCCTGCCAAACTACCGTCCCTCAGGGCGTAGAAAAGAAATCACAGACCTAACAGGGAAGTTTGAACCAGGCTGAGGGATTTGCCTGAGCAATTAGAAATATTTAAGGATACTGGTGGCGCAGTGGTTAAGAGCCCGGCCGCTAACCAAAAGGTCAGCAGTTCGAATCCACCAGCCGCTCCTTGGAAACCCTATGGGGCAGTTCTCTCTCCAATAGGGTCACTGTGAGTCGCAGTCAACCCAATGGCAGCGCGCAGGCTGGTGGTGCAAAAGGTTAAGCACTCCATTGTTGTAGGAAAAAAAATCACAAAGTTTAGTAAAGCAAAAAGAAAGTTTTATTCGGCATATAGTCAAAAAGGCAAAAGTGGGAAATTGCACAAGCATGCTGCCAGAGCCATGTCTTCCTGAATCCAAGGAAATTTCAGAATAGACAAAAGTGGGAAAACGGACAAGCATGCTGCCACATCCATGTCTGCCCACGTCCAAGGAGATATTATAGAACAAGCAAGAATGGGAAAACGGACAAGCATGCTGCTAGAGCCATGCCTGTCTGAATCCAAGGAAATATTACAGAATAGGCAAGAGTGGGAAATGGACAAGCATGCTGCCAGAGCCATGTCTGTCTGAGTCCAAGGAAATATTACAGAATAGACAAGAGTGGGAAAATGGACAAGCATGCTACTAGAGCCACGTGTGCCTGAGTCCAAGGAATGTTACAGAAGGACCAGTATATATTAACATCACAAAATAGGCAAAACCACTGAAAGCTTCACCTTTTCACAGATTGGCTAGAAACTGCTAAATCTCTGTGATTCTACATTTTGAACTGTCTTTCTTAATAATCATT